CAGGTTTGGGTTATGCAGAGGCCAGAGAAGATTCTCATCAGAATGTAATAATAGTGTGTAGGTGTGGAAAGATGGTTCAGTGGTTCAGACCACACACTTGCAGAAGATCCCAGCTCTTTTCCTAGGATCCATGTAGGTTGGTTGGGTGGCTCACAACTGCTTGTTAACTCCAGTTTCGGGGGAATCTCATGCCCTCTTCTGGCTTCTGTGGGCCCCGCACTGATGCCTTTATACCCTACATAGATACACACACATACATGTAGGGCTAGAACTCAGAAATTTGGTTTGGCCCATAGAAACACATTTGTTACTTACCTGTATTTAGATAGCAATCAGAGAAACTGACAAGGAAGGAGAAGAGAAGCAAAGGACCAAGCTACTAGATTTTCTTTTTGTTTGTTTCTTGCTAAAATTAGATTAAATTGAATTACTTTTAAAAGACATGGATTTCACTTTGAATGCTTATTCTTTCTCTGTTCTGTATAATTAGTTTTTAGGTGATGTTACGGTCACATTGGCATTTGTTCCTATAGAAATTCATGTTTAGTGTTGGTACCCAGTATAGTAATGTTGTAAAGCGGTAGAACTTCTAAAAGGCTTTTAGTACTCGGGGGTCTACGCCCAGGAATGGAAGTGAGTTTTCACTCTGTGGACTGAATTAGTGACCATGAGAATCAGTTGCCCCCATCTGGGGCTGCCCGCCTGCATTGGTAGCCTGGTCTAGATTCAGCAGTCAGGGAAGTTGGTGAGAAAAAGCTAGCACTCCTGTAGAGTGTTGGCGTTCTCATTTGATGCCATTTACAGACTGACATTTTGCCACAGCCTTGAGCTTCTTGAAGGGAGATGTGTATTTGCTTCTGACTGTGCAGTGAGCAGAGACAGGCCTGGCAGGGTCTCCAGTGTCCTACTTTTCAGTCATTTTCCTGCTTTCATCCTCATCTGAGATTTCTATGGTCACCGCTAATCCGTGAAGATCTACAGATATTTTGGTTTCCTCAAAATGTTTTTCTGGGAGTTCTGGAGATGAAAACTCTCCCTTCTGTTTTGTTAGGCCAGTTACCACAGCAGCATCTGTTTGGTTGGTTTGTTGCTTAAAAAGATTTAAAAAATTCTTTACTAATGAACTTTAAATTTATAGATCTGATTCTTTTTAGTTTATACATATGTATACTAACAAAAATCCATTCAAAGTGAATTTCAAGATGCAGTGTCCTTCCTTGGTCAGTCTTCTCTCTTTAATCCAACATCCAAGACCATTTATTAATCATTTTCCTTTTAGTGACTGGAACATAGCATGCCCTCAGTAAATATCTGAAGGCTGACTAGTAATTGTGAAAATTGAGTTAGAAGTTTGTGTAGTGATGGGAAGCTTGTAAAACAAAAAAGACAATTTAGTTGTATATGGAACTATAAAAAATTAAAAAGCACAGTTTAATATTTTGCTCTTGTTTCTTTCTATTTTTAATTGTTCTTCTTCATCATGACCAAACAAACAAACAAACAAACAAACAAACAAACAAACCCAAATCTTTTTTTTTTTTTTTTTTGGTTTTTCGAGACAGGGTTTCTCTGTGTAGCTTTGGAGCCTCTCCTGGTACTCACTCTGGAGACCAGGCTGGCCTCGAACTCACAGAGATCCTCCTGCCTTTGAGAAAAGATAAGCAGGTTTCTGTGAATTTTCTGAGTATGTTGTGGACACACAGCTTCCTTTCTCCCCTCTTAACACCATATTTGTTACTTGGTCAGCGTCTCCCGTCAAATTGCTAACAGTATCAATTCAGTCTTTATGAGAAGAAATAGAAGTCTACATATCAGGGGAAAAATGATGAAAACGGACAGGCTTGCAGCTGGGGTCTGTGTTGATGTTCCTGGCCCATGTTGCTGTTAGGACCCACATGGAAGGTTGGGGTCTGGGCCACAACCTGTGACCATGTTGGTGTCTGAGGGCTGTGCCACTGCTGTGACCAGGCTGACTTGGGTGACCAGGACTGTCAACTGGGGCCACGACATTGTTTGGAACAGGGCTGCACAGAGGGTGTCTGGGTCCGTGGCTCTGCCATATCCAGGGTCTTTGATGTCTGTGGCTCCTAAGACCATAGGAAGACCGTACCAAAGCCCGGGGTCTGAGTCTGTGACCCTAGAGCAGCCAGGGTCTGAGTTGATATTTGGGACTCCTGTTGTCACTGAGGGCCATGCAGTTGGCCGGGGTCTGGTTGGCCACCTTGGACCATGTCAGTGTCTGAGGACTGTGCTTCACCTGGGGCCATGCTGATCTGGGTGGCTGCTGCTGCCACTTGGAGCCATGGAAATATCTGGGAACAGGCGGCCACTTGTCTAAGCCTGTGGCCCTGTGGAGGCTAGGGTCTGAGATGGTGTCCATGACTGAAGTTGCCACTGAGGGCTCTGTGGATGCCTTGTGTCTGGCCAGCCACCTGGAACCATGTTGGTTTCCCGGTGAGCTATCTGAGAGGGGCCTGTGCTGCCACCAGGGTGTGGTGTTGTCCCGCTGAGCTGCTGCTGAGGGCTGTGTATGGGTCTGTGGTGATATCCATGGCTTGTATTTGGAACCATGCTGTGCTGAGCTGGTCCTACTTTTCACTGGCCCTGGGAAGGCTGGTCCTGCCCCTTGCTGGATATTACTGCAGGCAAGCTGGGCCTCCCCCTCAGAGAAGAGTCCCTTCATCACATTAGGAAAACATGGCTGCAATCCTCACCATAGGTGTGGCACCTCACCCGGGAAGCACACTAGAGCTGACTCTGCCTCCCCTCATTTGCCATGTGGTGGCATGGATGAGGGAAAGATGCAGTCCTCCCTCTGCCCCTTGCTGCCTGTGGCAGGTGAGAGAACTGATGCTATTGTTGAGGTGTCAGGTAAGCCAATCCTGAGAGCAGGAATGCTGACCTGACCTCTCTCCTATGCCCCGTACAGCAATCAGGAAGAGAAGGCCCTGCACCTTGCCTGGGCAAAAGAGTAGAGCTGACCCTGGCAATGGGGGTGGCACCTGGATCCAGGGGAACTAAGAGCAAGAGAACTGGCCCCATTCCTTGCTGTGGGCTGCATTGGGTGAGTTAGCCAAGGCAGTGCTGGAGAGCTTATCTGGGCAGTGATGATGAAGACAAGCTAGCGAACTGACCAGGCTACTCAGCCAGGTCCAGAACCAGGGCTATGAGTTGGCCCACTCCACCATCAACTAAATCTACAAACTGTTGGAGCATGTGAAGGAGATGAATCTAACAGATCCAAAACATGGCATAGGACAACAGCAGCATAGCCAAGAGGAAACCTGGTGAGAGCCTATTACAGGTGGTGTGGCAGAAACCAGAGGCCTCATGCCAGACCAATTACTCATGGCAATGAATACTTGCCGTAAAGATGAAAGGACTAAAGGGTAAACTGTGTGACTCAACAGGACACACTACAGCTCCTATGTTGAGATTCTTCTATTTTTTTGATCTGTTTTGTTTTGTTTTGTTTAGTTTTTTTTTAAAATTTTTTGTTTTGGGGGAAAGGTTTCAAGGGCAGAAGTGACAGGGAGATAAGTGGGATCAGAATGCATGATATGAAATCCACAAAGAATCGATAAAAGTAAAACACAAAATAGGCTTAGAAGAAAAGAGAATGTAAGAAAGAGCTTAGGAAAAATAACTTTTATCTGATGTCTTTTTTCTAGTGTGTTTGGTGGGGAATTTCTAGAGAAGGGGATGGATATGAGAAAGGAAAAGGAGAAGGCAGAGAGAGAAACTGGGAAAAGGACGAGGGAGGAACAATAAATAGGCAGAAGGGAGAAAGGGAGGAAGAAAAGCCAAGAAAAATTTCAGATCTTAATTGAAAATAATCCCATCTTTACTTTTAAGGGCTGTCAAATCTAAAGTGTGTTATTACCGCATGTAAAGCCAGGAATTGAGGTTAAGTTATTTTTGCCATCGAGCTTCATGCTAATGTAAAGGTGGAATAAGCACCCATAGGAAAGAACTGTTGAAATTTGTTCTCCTAAGAGAATTAGTGAAATGTTTATTAATACTGATTGTGGAAAGCTATGATGCTACTGAAATTTTTTGAAGTTTATTTTTTAAATATTTTTATTAATTCTTGGTGACTTTCATACAGCGTATTTTGATTATTTTAATACCAAATCCTTTTCTCAATCCTCTATGATCCACTACCCCTCCCCTATACCCTCAACCCCATGTTTTCTTTATTTGATTCAATAATCCACTGAGTCCAATTTGTGCTGTCCATTTCTGCTGGATATACGGCCATCCAGTAGAGCTTGGAAGTAAACCCTTAAAGAAAACTGTTTTTTCCTCCAACAAGGCTATCGATTAGTCATCGCTCCTCAGTTAGGAATCTCATGAACCCACTCCCACTCCTCCCTAGAATAATTCACAGCTTTTTCTCATACAGGTCTTGTGCAGGCATCCATAGCCTCTGTGAGTTCATAAGCACAGTGGTTCTGCCAAGTCCAAAAGGATGGTTTTACCCAGGTCCTCACTAATCACTGACTCTTATAATCTTTCTCTCCCCCTTCCTCAATGGTCTGAACCAGAGAGAGAGAGAGGGTCACTGCAATCTTTTTAAAAAGCATCAACCATAGGTTTTGACTTCTGTCCTTGGTTCATTAATGTATTTCAAAATCTGTCTTGCTTTATGAACGAATATTATAAAATTTCCATTATTATTTATTTAAAACAACAGTGACATTTTAGTGTTGGCTAAGTTAGAGAACACAGTTTTAGAGGTTTAGAAGGAAAAAGAGTGATCCTATATGATGAAATACTTAAAAAGTCAAATGTGTCTACAGACATACATGGATGTTGTGACACAACAGAGTAAAATGTATTTACTAATCTGATCTCATGTTCTGTTTTGGGCTCATTTCCAGGCAAAAGGATTCTTGTGGAAGATGGAACTCTGTCTGTTTTCCAGAATGTGTATCCGAGCCCATCAGTGGAACCTGACCCTACAGTGCTGTGTTGAAATGCCTGAAGAGGATCCACGTTTCTGCCTGAGCCTCCTATCCTCCTAAAACCATGGTTGTCTCAGAGGTGTTGAGTGCATCCCATTCAAGGACATCCAACACGACATTTATAGTCTATGAAAACTCCCATGTGAATATTACAACAACCCCACCATTTCAGCATCCAAGTCCTGGTCCGTTGCTTAGATACAGTCTGGAAACCATGACTAGCACTGGATTTAGTTCCTTAGCAGTGAACAGCACAGCCACGACCCCAACACCAGCAGTTTTTAAGAGCCTAAATTTAGCCCTCCAGATCATTCTTTCAGCTATAATGATATTTATTCTGTTTGTGTCTTTTCTTGGAAACTTGGTTGTCTGTCTCATGGTTTACCAAAAAGCTGCTATGCGTTCTGCGATCAACATCCTTCTCGCCAGCCTGGCTTTTGCAGACATGCTGCTTGCTGTGCTGAACATGCCCTTTGCCCTGGTAACTATTCTTACCACCAGATGGATATTTGGGAAATTCTTCTGCAGGTTGTCTGCTATGTTCTTCTGGTTGTTTGTGATAGAGGGTGTCGCTATCCTGCTCATCATTAGCATTGATAGGTTCCTGATTATAGTTCAGAGGCAAGATAAGCTAAATCCGTACAGGGCTAAGGTCCTTATTGCAGTCTCCTGGGCAACTGCTTTTTCCGTAGCTTTTCCTTTGGCTGTGGGAAATCCTGATTTGCAGATCCCTTCCCGAGCCCCACAGTGTGTGTTTGGGTACACAACTAATTCTGGATACCAGGCTTATGTGATTTTGATTTCACTCATTTCTTTCTTTATACCTTTCCTGGTGATACTGTATTCATTTATGGGCATCCTCAACACCCTTCGGCACAATGCCTTGAGGATTCACAGCTACCCAGAAGGAATATGCCTCAGCCAGGCCAGCAAACTGGGTCTCATGAGTCTTCAGAGACCCTTCCAAATGAGCATTGACATGGGCTTTAAAACACGTGCCTTCACCACCATCTTGATCCTCTTTGCTGTCTTCATCGTCTGCTGGGCCCCATTCACCACGTACAGCCTTGTGGCAACATTCAGCAAGCACTTTTACTATCAGCACAACTTCTTTGAGATTAGCACCTGGCTACTCTGGCTCTGCTACCTCAAGTCTGCATTGAATCCACTGATATACTACTGGAGGATTAAGAAGTTTCATGATGCCTGCTTAGACATGATGCCCAAGTCCTTCAAGTTCTTGCCACGTCTCGCTGGTCACACAAGGCGACGGATACGCCCTAGTGCTGTCTATGTGTGTGCGGAGCATCGGACGGTTTTGTGAATATTAGAACTCTAAGATATTTGGAGACATTATGGTTCTTTATTGACTGATAATTTTTTATATGGCTTCTAAACATTTATTGGTTTCTATCTTTTGTGTGTGTGTGTGTGTGTGTGTGTGTGTGTGTGTGTGTGTTGATGAAAGAGTGTTGAGTACTTTGATCCTGAAACTAAGGATACACTGTAAGGGTCACATATGTTACCTCTAGTTTAAGAAAACTTTCACGGGGAGGTGTTTGTTTAGTTGAGTGGTTTTATTTTTTAGCATGAATCAGGATTGTGCTTCATGGCACCTGCAGTTAACTTGAATTGTAGGTGTTTTTTATGCTGCTGAGGCAAGCTTGGTTGAGTTAATCTGTTCCTTTTCCTTTCCTACAAGACACTGCTGCTCTTTGTCATCATATTGGAATCAAATCCCCATGCATCTCAGTTGGTAGATACTTACTTTTATTTAAAAAACAAAACCCATGGAGGTTGGTGACATTTTAAAGGTTATTACAATTTACTTTGGTGCACTTTAAAAGACAATGTACAGATTAATTCAACTGTGTTCTTAGAATTGTTTTTATATATGACATATTGTGCTTTGGAAGACATGTGCTAATAATTTCTAGGTAGTTTTTATTAAAAATATTTTAGCTGCATGTACAATTTTCAAAGGAATATAAACACATAGGGATTTTTTCCAAGCATAATAGTGAGTTTTCAGAGTGCTAGGGAACCATTGAGGAGGCACAGTGCTATGGCGAATTTCAGGGAGGAGCAGAATGAGAGGTTGGCTGGTCTAGCTTGTGGCCATCTTGCTGACTGAAACATTCTCACCAAGTTTAGAGAGAAGGGGCAACCACTGTAGGGTGGTACTGTGTGCCAGGTGGTGGGCAGTGCTCTGTCCTCATGGATTTCTGTGAGTAGGTATTATTTGTTTCCTTTTTAAGAGTAAAGAAATCCAAGTTTCAGAGGGACAAAAATCCTGCCCAGAGGTTTTGATATAGCTGCGGGGCTCCAAACATCTGAGATGCAGATGCTGTTGTTCCATTGTGCCACACAGACTCCTCATTCAGTTCGAACCTGTCAGTCAAGGGGGGCAACACATATTCTTTTTATTCCCCCCTCTCTTTTTCTCTCTCTCCTTTCTTCTTCTCTCCTTTCCTCTTCTCTTTTTTGAGACAGGGTTGCATGGAGCAGGCCTTGAAGTTGCTATGTTTCTGAGAATGTCTTGGAGTTTCTGAAGGGAACAAATGACTTAGACCCACCCTTTCAAGTGGGTGGGCCTGAAGATAAATATAATTATGAAAATTGGATCAGTTTTCAATCTATAAAACAAATGACTGACAGTTAATGAATGTCCAGCCCAGCTGGCATGGATCTTGCCCTGGCTGCTTGGCTTCCACCCATCTAGTTGTGCTCTAATGTGATCAGGAGTGAGACCTTTTGCTTCTCAGCTCTGGCCTTCGCAGAACTGAAGTTTAAGAACTGCAGAGGTGTGCCTCCTCAAGAGAGGGGAGATAAACCCTGGTCTGAGCTGAGATTAACTTTCATAGGTCAGGCTTTGGAGTTTCCATTCTTTTTCTTAAGTTGTCTACCTGTTCTGGTCCATTCAGAACCTTGGTCAGCTTTGGTCTGTTATCAGTGGTAGACCTTATAAAATAGCCAGCAGGGGTGAAGCTACAGTCTCAAGTGCAAAGAGCTGAAAGAGTGGCCTTTGACTGTACTCTGGTCTAAGGCAGAGGTCAAAAGTGCCCTGTAACCGGGATGGGTAGCATCTTTCCTGAACTTTAGTGCTTTGTGAGCCATTCGGAAAAACAAGTCTGTGCTTCTTCCATGAGAAAAACCCAAATTGGATTACAGGAATTGCTGAGGTCTTACTCAACCCTGAGAGTTTTTTGTTTTGCTTTGTTTTCCATACACGAGTATAGTTGGAAGAGCCCAGCCTACTTCACTATTATCCAGTCTCCAGTATCACTTTACATTTGCTTTATTAGCTCGTGTTAAAATGGTGTCTGAAGGGCTCTGGCATGGTCATCAGGAATTGTGATGTTGTAAATTTGTTGACAGCACCAAGAGGCAATTGCAATCATGTTGGAAATCACTTGACTGTTTAATCTGCTGTAGGGACTAGTGTACACTATTTACAACATTATGTTGAGATCATTGCTTATGATAGCTACCTACCTCTTTAATTTCTAGTTTATGTTTATGACAGGTAAATATGTTTTTGTCCATTGGGATCACACAGGACTTAAACACTGTAGTAGATACTAGCAGCACATTGAAATGCATTTTGCTTTCCATTGTCAATATAAACTGGATCGGAAGTAGACATTAACACAGATGCTGAAAATCTAACTTTCAATTAAGATAGCACTGTGTATTGATGCATACTGGTAACTTTTGAGACTTCCTTTATGACTGTAGTTGAACTGACTTTCACATTCTGTCTTCTGGTTCACATGCAGTTGAAGGTACTCTTTTCTGGTTAGAGGCAGCTACACTTGGCGGGTACACTGGAGAGACTGCTGAGCCAATATTCGAAGCCATGGGGAAGGAGACTTTGAACAGCAGCTCTCTTTTCACTGGCTAATCTGTTCAGATGGCATTTTACAGATCACTTTAAATATTATAATTATATGTAGCTTTTGCAAGCTTCAGGAAAAATATATTATGGTGTACCATCAAGGAATGTAGGCACAAAATTGCATGTTTTCTTGATTGGGAAATATTGATCACTGCTGACTGACATAATCAGAAATTATTTATTTTTTCCTCCTAGCTAATACGATGTATGAAAGAGATAAGGAAATATTTGTTGTCAGAAAAAAACAGTAAAGAGAAATTTTAAATAGTTGACAGTAGTGATATTTAAACTTTAGTAAGCATTTGAACATCCCCAGGGAAGGTCAATACAAATTCCCAGGCCATTGGGTCAATGGTTGGGCACAAAAATGTTTATTTTTATTATATTGAGTGTTTTGCCTGATTCTGTTTCAGATGGTGACAGGGGCACAGTTCCAAGAAACACTCCTGTAGAAAATAAGTACATCATTTAAAAACTATCTGTTTTATCTTAAAGCAGTTGTGCGTTGGAAACCAATGGTGATCCACAGTGAAATTAAATCTACATGGTTTGTGACTGTCTGGTGGCCACATGTGTTGGTGTAGATTTGGCCAGCAGCAGCTTTACTTTCTTTTCACTAGCAAAATCTGATGAACCATGTGGTTTCACAGTAGGGGTCAAATCATGACTCACTAATTGTAAGTTATGACTTCCAGAAGGCTAATTAGCCTAGTATTTCTTTCCTGCAGATGTCTCTATAGGGCATCTCTTCATTACGTGTAATTTCCTGAAGAGAGTGAGGGGAATGTAAAGACTTTTCTAATTTCTAGTTCTCTACTTAGACCAGTTGTTCAATTGAAGCATGAAGTAAAATAAAATAGCCTTTTTAATCTTCATACTTTTGTTGGAGACAAAGATATTTAATTTCTCTGATCTTATTTTGTTTACATGAAAATATGTATATATATATCACAAATATTTTCACATGCTTGCTATTTTATCCTGTCATGATTTATATCTGAGTTTAAAGTACAACTAGATTCAAATTTATTTCCATAACCATGATTTTGATGAACTGCCTCCATTAAACAACTCAATTTTTATAATAATAAAAATATCAAAGCACATGTTTGTTATTGCAAGTAAATGTTAATACAGTTCTTAGCTATCTATAGGTACTTGTCATTTGTAATGAAAATTTATTTATTTTAAAGTGGTACCCAGGTTTTAATGAATGAAAGACTTTTAATTTGGGGTTGTAACATTTAAATCTCAAAAGTATGTTTACTATTTACTGTTCTTATTACAACCAAGAAAAGAGCTACCAATAAGAAAATGAATAAATGTTTAATATTTCTAAAGTGGAGTTTTTGTTTTTTTTTATTTTAAAACTTCATTTCATCCTAGAAAAACTTGGCTACGAATAATGGAAAACTGTCCCATTCTGTTCAAATTCTCTTCCATTTGCATTCTTGACTTTAAGTTAGCTGCCCAGTCTGTTTGTGCAACTGTATTCTCATTTTAGAAGTTCTCAGTGTAGTTCTGGCCTGAGTGAAACCTGACAGAAGATGACGAGTATTAGGAAACAGTGAGGAGATTCTGTCCTGGAGACTTACGAAAATGTACTGCTAAGTCATTTGAAATGATGAACATTTGTGAAGTGGAGAATGCTGCTATGTGGATGGGATGATTCCCGATGTAACTCCAATTCCAAGACTCCCTTTAGATAAACATGGGGACTATTTATCTGACTATCAGAGTTGCAGCTTTGTGCCCATTAGACATCAGGACCTGATTTCCTCTCTTTCATATGCAACTGAATATATTTCTTTAATTTTACAAAGGAAGGTTCCATTGACTATGTAGTCATTGTCTTCTTCTGAAACAAAAAGGTAAGAGAGATCTAGCAAAACAGAGTTACATGCTATATTTATACCTACTCACATCTGTGAAAATAATGAATCCAGCAGCATCAAAAGCTTCAAAATGTAACCAGTTGGCTCTGCTGTGTAATGAAAACAAGTTCCATGGCTGTGTGGGATCAGATCTACCCAGAAAGAGAACTCTAGTAGGAGATATAGACATTTACTGAAAAGAATTAATTAACACAATTGTAGGGCTGGTTATGCAGAGCCAAAGGGCAGAACTGGAAGGACAGACTTGTTCAAAGGGCGGTGTCCACGACTGGAATTTCTTCTTCCTTGGAGAATCCTTAGCACCTGCTTTTAAGGATTGCAGTTGACACAGGCCAGGGATTTACCTGCCTGTCCTCCCATTGCTACGTAGGCATGAACATGCCATTAAGCTTGGCTTTTTCTTTTTGTTCTTGTTGCTTTATCTTCCGTGTGAGCTTGGGGGATGAAATTCGGGTCCTTATTCTTGCATGGCAAGAATAGCTTTACAACCTATTTCCCTAGCTCTAATAGAGTTATTTTTGTTGATATGGAGGAGCTTAATGGAATTTTAAGTTATTTATGATTTCATGAAAAAGGATATGTTTATAGAGAACCAAATAGGCTGATGTGGTAAAGTTAGGAATTGCTGCTTCTCAGGAGTTGGATCAGTAATATGAACCCAGTCAGGGCTTCCTAAGAGCCCAAAGCTGAGACTCCACCCTTCACCTGTTCTGGAATTCATAGCTATCACCTTTGCTCCCTGGACTGGAGACTTTTTGGAAAGTTGCCTGTTGCCAGGCATTTATTTCTGCTTTGACATCTTTCTGGACCGTTATTAGCATTGCATCTGTGAATGATGCAGAAAACTTTTTTTTTTCCATGACAGGGAGATAGAGATTTTTCTTGTGCAACTTCACCTCAACTATAGTCTCAAAAGCTGTGATTATCTTAGATTGTAAGAAGCCACAATATTTTAGGTTACTCTGTGTGAAGACTACAATTGCTGAGCAATAAATAGGTCCTGTGTGAACTTTCTTGAGACAAATGGCTTCGTATGAAAACAGAGTAAAACCAAATGGAGGTAGAAGAATAAAGGACAGCAGTGTACTGTCTCAGAGGTATAATGAAAACAATAAACATGCCCTTAGCCATTCCTCTACTTTTCCTTTGGGTTCACAATTTCCTGGAGACTACCATCTCTGGCGGCAGGAGCCCTGTGCTTGTTTACTGTTTCTCTGACTTCTATCATGTCTCTTCACACTGAGCACTATCCCCCAAAGTCTAGAAATGAACCTTCTGATTGTAACAGACTCTTGGCAAAAATCATAGGCTCTGAGCAATGAGAGCTGAGTCACTGCCCAGGTATTAAGCCTTGCAGTCCAATGATGTACCCATTCTACTCACTTGCTTCCTTAACTGGAGGAGAAAGTAATTTTGGTTATCAAGTAACAAGCGAAATGAGTGTAGCCAATGGCAATGGTTGCTAACTTTTTATTTGCTAGGCCTGGTAACCTGAATAATGGTCTACATGTGTGTATGTGAATTTTACCCTGTGATCTCTGGTTCATAACATGGAGGAATCTCTCTGTCCCCATTCCTTTAAGGATGGCCTGTGTCTTTGTCTCGTGGTCCTGTGTAAATGTGCAGGACCCTTGCTTTTCGAAGGAGAACATGACCCATGGCATCACTGAAGTATGCTCATTCTAAGGGGCGGTGTATGTCAGGGCCTGAGTATGCCAGCGTGAGAACTGTACTGCCTCTGTTCTGTGTGGTCTCAGTGTCTTTGTAAATGAGTGACGATGGTGACATGGACAAGATGTGTACAGTGGCTTCCTCTGTCATACAAATGTGGCTGGGAGAGATTTCTATTGATGGTGTTTGACTTCTGCACGTCAAATACCATTTTAAACACTTCTAATAGCTCTGTGGATTTGAAATCACTTTTACCACAGATTTGGCAGGACCCTACATGGTTCTTTTCAGCTGTTCTTCCTGATTGGAGCTATAAATAACTTTAGAGAAGTGTATAATTATCTCAAAGTAGGAGCTAAAGATAAAAAAGCTGCTTGAGATTTCAAAGGAACGTTTAATAGTTGTTATTATGTAACATTTATTAATATGCTCACTGTGCTCATTGTCTTTGCCAGGAAGGAACTGGGAAGAAAGAGTCAATCCAAGATGTGACACATGTTCACAAAGGTACATTAGCATACACTGCCCCAGTTAAAAACAGAAAGTTTGGAAAAAGAAAAAAATGATAGCCAAATCAGACTGAAGTCTTGCAGATGCGCAGAAAACTTACACCTCCCAACAAATCTATAAAACAAAGATGGCTGGCTGGTCACTATGACCAGAGTGGTGCGTACGGTGTATATGGGGCAGACATAGGGATAGTGCTCTGCTTCTGGAAGTCAGCTCAGAAATGTGTTTGATCCAGGTGACTGCTGTCTCTGTTTCATGAATAAACAAATACTAAAAGACTTAAGTACTAAATAAGCACACAGTACTGGCTAACACAAAGTAAAGGTTATAAGCGTTAGTTAGGTTTGTCAGCCCCTGGCTAAGGCTGTTACTGTCCTTTAAAACTGTAGAAAGTCTTCACCAAATCACATTAATTTCAACCATCATTTATTTGGTGTTTGGTAGGTGATGCAAATACTGTATTACCCTATGACAGTTGTCCCATAGTCAGATATCAGACAACCAGGGATAGCACCAGTGCCCCGAGTACTTGCTTGATTTGTTCAAAATAGCCAGTCCAGAGGCCTCTTTCTCTGTCTCAGTGGTTTCTTTCTAAGGAAGCTATCGGCAAAGCTTTAGCCCCACAGTAAAGTCCTCCTACCTTTTAGCATACCCTGGTGATTCCTGTGTCTCTCTTTGTAATGTGACATGTCATTTTGTAATTTGTGGTATTACCATAATCTCTGTAGAAACACAGCTCTATTGTAAGGAGAGACAAAATAATGCCAAGGAATTATTTGTAAAACAGGCATAGAAGCCCCAAGAAATGAGTAGGGTGGGTAGCTGGTTGCTGGAGGTAAGGTTGACATTATCTGGATTTGTACATTTTCTTTATGCCTTTATTACTCCCTCTATTATCACCGAAGGAAGGGCAATCTTTCCTGTTTGGTCTGATTTCGTCTGCATGCAACACAATTCACTCATGGACCTTCTGGTGTAAACCTTCTTACCTAGTTGTCTCTTAGGAATGGCTTCCTCTGTTGACCTTGATGTTGGGACTTGCTTCTCCACCAATTAGTTTTCTTTCTTTCTTTCTTTCTTTCTTTCTTTCTTTCTTTCTTTCTTTCTTTCTTTCTTTCTTCTTTCTTTTTTCTTTCATTCTTTCTGTCTGTCTGTCTGTCTGTCTGTCTGTCTTTCTTTCTTTCTTTCTTTCTTTCTTCCTTTCTTTTTTGCTCCCTCCCTTTCTCTTTCTCTTTCTCTCTCTTTTTTTGTTTTGTTTTTTCGAGACAGGGTTTCTCTGTGGCTTTGGAGGCTGTCCTGGAACTCTCTCTTGTAGACCAGGCTGGTCTCGAACTCACAAAGGTCTGCCTGCCCCTGCCTCCCAAGTCCTGGGATTAAAGGTGTGCGCCACCACTGCCCGGCTTGTTTTGTTCTTTCTTTATACCATCACAATTGTCTTCCTACCTTTATGTTCTCAGTTTCCTGCTGAAAACTCTTCCAACAAGGCCTTTCCTCAGAACCTCCTCAAACAGTTTGAGCAGTAGGGGACCAAGTATTCAAATTAACCAAGTATTTCAGGCCTCTTTAGACCATTCTGTCCTGAAAAGGAATGTTTGCTCCCTGTGCTACCCATAGGCTGATGTGTGTCTGAGTCTCTGTGTAGTTGTTAGAGAACATTGTATCCCAGGGTAATGAGAGTCAAGTTGTCTGATACATCAAGGCTTTCTTTAGAATCAGATAGATTCTAAAAGTACAAATACATCATAAAGACAGTTCTGTGTGCACATCGTGACAGCTGGACAGCTGGCAATACCTTTTCATTAGTGAGGGGCTATAGATAAGCAGTGTAAGGCAATAGGCTGCCGCTATATGAAAGTGCAAGTAGTGGGTGCATTACACTTCCAATGCCAAGGTAGCTACCAACATCTGTAAACATTGATCTCTACCTGTTCACAGTGCCTCTTATCTAATGATTTCACAAAGCACGGCTAGCTTTTTTTTTTTTATCTCGCTCTCTCTCTCCTTCTAGCACTTTCTTATATCTCACTTTCTTTTCCACCCATCCTGTCTGGTTGCTCACAGCACTGAGATAGGCTAGGTACAGCTCTAAAATAATGATAATTGTAGACTATCTTGCCCTCCTCTTGCTGGTGTGTGGAAGCCAGCTACTGACCTGGACCAACTTTGTTCAAATCGTAGTAAATATTATTAATTACCTTTGCAGGATGGGCACTAGGTAGAGCTTATGATTCACAGCTTCTGAGTGGGGTGCCATATGGAATTTATTATACAGGTTAACTGAAAACAGACATCCCATGTAAACTAATACTGCTCCTGTCTCATGGCACATGCAGTGGCGATGAATCATGCATGATATTCTCTCACCTTGTGACTTCATCTCCTATTACATTTATACACTCACTTTACTCCCAGGAGCTAATGCCTCATTGTAAATTCCTATCTTATTTCCTTGCTCTATCCAAATTATGCTCCTGGTATCCTTGCTGCAGGCTTCCCAAAGAAGTTTTGCAATTGATTCAGTGTTTCCCCACGTTCCTGTTGAAGATGTACACTTTAATCAACAAT